GGCCCGCAGTATGTAATTATATAACGCAGTTATGCATTTTCCGCCGATACAGTCGATACCCGCGGATGACCGGAGCGTGGCGTTAAAACTTCTCCTCTACGGATCGCAGCCGGCGTTTTAGACTCCAACTATGAAAAACCACAACATTTATCGTTCTGTAAATCTCGCTGGAAATAAAAGTCACCGCGTAACGTATGGGCGCATCACATCGCGTGTCAGTTTCGGTTGGCTCCGTTCTTTAATTAGTTAAGACTCGGATTAATGCCTATGGCGTATAACACTTTTGTAGCTTATGAAAGATTTTTCTCACGTTGAAAAACATGAGTGAGAATTTTCTGCCTTGTGAATTAAGGTCATCGCAGGTCAATAATTTAATCCGCATATTTCGTAATCGGATTACCGCAAATACGTGTAGTTAGAATAAAATAAAAAAAATTTAGAAAAATCAAACAAATAATCAAATCACGACACAAAATTGTTAAAAGGTCTATCTTGATCTCTCGCCATTACTTTTAATCTACTTGAAATCTAATCTTAATCTCTGTATTATTTTTCTGATTTTATTTTATTTTTTTTTCTTATAAAATCCGTTCTAAAATTTATGGTGAAAAAGAAATACGTTGTATTTTAACAAAGCGATTTTAATATTTTTAATCAATATTCTAGAAGGCTAAATGGATGCAGAAATATATAAAAATAATTAAAAAGTTTTGCTGAAGTATCAAAAAATTTAGCTAGATATAGATTTGAAAATAAATTTGTTGGACTATCAAAATTATGTAAAATATAATAATTATATAAACGTTGATAGCAAAACCACCAATTTAAGCGTCCTACATAATTATTTTAATGGTCCAAACAAAATTATTTTTAGATCTATATATCTAGCTAAATTTTTAAATACCTTAGCAAAACCGTTCTTTCCGTGTACTTGTCCGTTTATTAACTTCTAATCGTAATTTAAACTCTATAAGTTTTCATAATTTCATCGTTAGCTTTATTTTATAATCATCGCCCGCGAGATTCCTATAGAAAAAGCGAGCGTGAGAAAGGTCTCGATCATCAACCTAGTATGGATAACGACACTCGGCAAGGTCTTAAAGAAATGTCGCGTTGAATGCACAATCGTATAGACGATGAGAACCGTTTGTGGGCTTTGTTTATTAATTATAAGAGCGAGCGTTATTCCCGCAGCGTCCCACTTTACGGCACTTTCACTCTTCAACAGTTACGTTATTGCTCATGAGCGGACTGCTCTCGAAGAACTGTATATCGTTAGTGTTCATGTAAGAGAATCCGTATCCTTCGTGAGAACTGGGAGAATCAAATTCACAATCTTTTGCCATCGTAGTTACACAGAGATTGGTCTCGCAATCGCGAAGACTGCGCGACACAGGCATCGTTTTCCAATTCCGAGGGAGTTTCCACGCTCCGCGTGAATAAGCTCGATAGCAAGATGTAATAGCGATGTAACATAATATGAAACATGCATGTAACACGCAAGAAATAATATGTTCAACGACGAAGCGCCGTAAAATTTTTATTAGAGCTGATCTCGAAAAAAAAACTGATTTAATTAGATAAGCATAATTGTAGTGGTCGTCTTGTAAACCGATTAGAAAGTGTCGTTTCTACACGCAACAGTTTCCCTAAGCAGACATTTAGTATTTGTTGTACAACATTTCCTGCGATTAACATCGACAGGATATCGTGCATTAATAGGTGATCTCGATGTTTAGACGAATGAAACAGTTGATTATTTTAATTACGTTTACTTTGTATAGGATGAGAAACTCGACAATGGCGAGATCTTGCTTTTCGGTCATGCTTTATTCTGAATAGCTTCCTCAACGGAAATTTAAATTTCACGATTAAGTTGTGTGAAATTATTTAACCTCGAAAATTGAGCAATTAACTTTATAATGAAAGGAAAGTTGGATGATTATGTGACAATGCATTTGTCATGTTAAGAAAGAGAGAGGGAGAGAGAGAGAGAGAGAGATCATTATTTATTAAGCGTTTTAGAATCGAATTCTCTCAAACTAAAAAGCAATACATAGTTGAGGGAATAGAATAAGAAAAATTAAAGCAAATACATAAAATAAAATTTAAAAAATGAAGGTAAAAAGAAAATAAAATATAAAAATAGAAAAGACCAAAATTGAGAAACAGAATAGCTGTAGTATGTGCAAAGAAAGAGAGAGATAGAGATAGAGAGAGGTTCCTCGGAAAACACAGAGTTGACCGAGTAAACAGATTAGAAATGGTTAAGACACCATCGCGTCACCCACATGGTACCGCGGAAAAGTGATAAATCGTTCTCGCATGCGAAATTATATACGCTTAGAAGGACGTCCTAAGAACGATATCATTTCCCAGCAAAACGACGATAATTTAGCATGAAATATCGTTTTTGCTCGGAGATCACTGACCGTCTCAGGCGGTCAGATAGATCTTATATTTATCATCTTCGAGCCTGCCGGCTGCTATTCGGATCCTCTTACGCCAACGTATAAGTGAAAGTTTCCAAGTAGGACGCACGAATCTCGATGTCCGGAGGCTCGAATACCGGACATTGGTTGGTGCCGAAATTGATGAACATCGATACTAAGAAATACGAAAAAAAGACTCAACTCCTATCGCAAATTCTTTCGAAATTTTACATCACTCGTCATTCGTTTCTGACGAAACGGCAGATCCTGATTTTTCCCGCTTCGAGCAATCTGACTTCTTCCTAAGAAGGTCAGAAAATAAATACGATAGAAAATCATCGGCTTTGACTATCTGACCGATCTGGAACGAAGCAAGTTGCGCAAACACGTACATGAGATGTTTGCGGAACATTGCAGGGCACTTTTGCAACTGGGGGAGGTCTCTAGCGGGTCATCCCGTTCAATTGCTCCACTGAATCTGCACCTTTCGCAACGGCGAACATGACTTATATACAATCTCCTGTGTGATTTCTTGCCAACGAGTTACTTCATACCACTGCAGCTTCAACATCATACCTGGAAAAATGTTTCGTGTAATTTATCAGATCAGAATTATCTGTCATACGTTGATGTAAGAGGATCTAAATAATGTCTTGCATTATGTAAAATCTTTTTTGCAAAACAAGTAAGAAGGAAACAATTGTCGCATACATTTCTACATGCGGAACATATCACATTCTGTTTAATCCTTCTTCTGTAATTTGGCTGTTTTAAGTCAATTAACTCAAATGTTAAAATCTTTATTTAATAAAATTGAAATTTGAATAAAAATAGGGAAAAAATTAAAATTTGTTCAAAAATGTATAACTTAGCAATAAAGGAAACGGACTCTGCCCTTTGCATGTAAAAATTTTGCTTGTGCTAAAAAAAACCCAGATTGCTGACGAAAAGTTGAAATATTTATAAACGAACATCTTATATACCTTTTTAAAAGTATAACTATTCATATACAGGGTGTCCCACGGGAAGGTGTTGAAACTAATCAGCTGTCATTTTCGAAAGTATTGAAAAAACTCAGTTATTGAAAAAACAAAAATTGCGCTGAAAAGAGGAAAGTCTGCAATTTTTAATGAGTATAAATAAAATTTAATAAAATGTTTGTGTATCAATTAATTTTATTGATAAAAAATATGTTAAAATCAAGTAAACTCTAAGATTAATATCAAAGACCGTGTACATATATATATAAATATATATAAGATTTCATAGATAAGATCGAAAAACAGTTTTAGATTTAGTAATAGCTATTTAAAAAGTTATTAGCAATATTAAAAACGATATGTTAGAAAAAGTTTTTACGAGTTTTCGTAACAAAAATTGTGTTTTGTACAAATTCAGATGGTGCGCACTCCGAAAAAATTACTCCTTGGGATTATTTTTCATCAATAAAATTAATTGATACACAAACATTTTGTTAAATTTTATTTATACTCATTAAAAATTGCAAACTTTCCTCTTTTCAGCGCAATTTTTATTTTTTCAATAACTGAATACTTTCGAAAATGACAGCTGATTAGTTTCAACACCTTCCCGTGGGACATTCTGTACAAAAACTATAAAAATATATTTTAAAAGTGCATATAGAAAGAGAAGATTGACCGTACGATGCAATAGCTAACGCGATTAATCTTTGTCAATCCACTTGTGATATTGCGCGCTCTATTGTAGTATATTCTATAACAAGAATAAAAAAAATTCTCTTGCTCTTCTGCGAAATCAACGAAGCTTGCGTTTTCGTAGAATTCGTTTGCAAGGTGCAATCTGTACTGCTGCCTACATTCATGAAAGTCGGCGGGACTATTATTCTAAGAGAGAGGCAAGATTCACATTAAAGTCTAGAAATGCTAATGATATTATAATTGCAGCTGCCTTAATTGTAAACGTCCATCAAGATGATCGTTCGTGAGTAAGAGCGTCCAGCTGAAATTATCATGAACCGATTTGGAGCGACATCTGAATCGATCTGTGTCCTTTCTCGCAGACAAAGATTATCGAACAGATCGGGAACAATCACTTGTCTCAAGGAAGTTGTAGTTTAGTGAAGCTTAGTAGCGAAAGTAATCCGCTACCGCTCCCCTTCGGTCTACTGGCATTAAGATCCTTCACGTTCTTTCACCGAATAACTCCTCGTTGAGACGAGGAGGAAAGGTGAGTTTCGATTTCGATGGGCCTTGGAGGTCGCAGAAAAGTGAGGACGCTTAGTATAATAGTCCCCTCTACGGTCGATCGCGTGGTCGGGCGGATTTGAAGAAAGTTGTCGTCGTGTACGCGAAGAAGATACATTCCACGTCGCGCATCTCCTCTTTCTTTTTTCCCTCCTACCGTATTTATCTACGTACGTGTCCACGTGAACGACAGACACGAACACCAACGAGGCGAGTGTCGAGGAGGCACCTCGGAGAAAGGTGCTGCTCCACCGTCTTCGACATTAGAGAGGAGCTTCATGAAGAGCGGTGGCCGCCGGTGGTGGTGGCACCAGGTAGGGAGAAACGGGCCCCTGGGCCGAGATCTGTCCTCAGTTCCCATGCGAGGTTCCGCTCGGTATCGTTCAGCCAAGCCACGTCCGATCGTCTCGAGCGGTGTCATGTCGCGAGTCAGCCGCCTCTAACGCGAGGAATCAGCCGGTGAGAAGTGTGTGAATCTCCTCCACGTGGAAGAGCCCAAGAAACGATCACAGCAATGCGGTTCGCCAAGCTGGTAATTATAACAGGGCGTGACCACGAAGAGGGTGGATGGACCGATCGGACGGAGACGTTTGTACTTTCATCGTAATAAGCATGTCGCGCGCGATGCCGAGACCCCCCGCGGTTCTATCATTTATAATCAGCGAGCGTATCGACTCTCACGCACGAGGGAAAGTGCTCTAATAAATCGTGACAGACGCGACCGGCAACGATACGATCGCTAATCGTCTTGCAGAGATCAACGGCCGTTTAATCGCCATATATCGTCGTTTTACCCTCGGGCGGCCTTGCGGCGCCCGAGGCGGGCAGTTCATGTAAAAAGAAGTGTTCGGGGCCTCATTCGAATATGCTAACCAGCACCGAGAGAGGCACCGAATTCTCGAAGTGAAACGCGCCGGTCTTAAACTTTGATTCTCTTTCTCTTTCTCTTTTTCCGTCACCCACTTCCTGGTGGATGGACTTTAAAGGATTAATCGAGTACACTGAGGCGTATTCTATTACATGCAATGGTGTTTTTAGAATCATAGGAAAAAATTAAGATAACGAAAAAAAAAACAAACTTTCAATAAGGATAAGTCGCCTTGATTTGCTGTATATAATTAATGCAGTTTTGAAATATTATAGATACTTTTAGTACAGAAATATAAAAAATATATATATATTTAATTAAGACCGAAGATTGTCAGTAGAGCATACGAAAGCTCGCGGTAGTGGAAGTATTTGGCATTCGAACGATTTCAGAGAAAAGAGAAACATCCGCAAGTTGACCTTGCCATATCCAGAGTATAGTCACGACTGGGAATCGCTTATCAGGCTAACTGTTTCTCGATCTCGCTAGCATACCAATCGATTCGAAGCCCGTTAAGGCCATCAATGAGTTTTCTCGTTATTAAACAGGTTACTCGGTTATCAGAGCGCGTTAAAAGTTTTCCTTCTTGAATTTACATCGTGTGTTATGTCAATTGATTGAAACGCTGGCACTATCAATCGACTGACAAAGCAATACATACGCTACTTTCTAGAAAATTGAATCATTGATTTAAAAAGAAACTTTATTAGAACCTGAAACATAAAATTACATTTGTATACCACAAATTTTTAAGTCAATAATATACATTAGTTTTATCAGACAAACAATATAGTTAATATCGCAATATAAAAAGACGTTCTGTCAACGCGTCGATCTCTTTTTCCTTTCAGAGACTCTTCACGGCGACGCTCCTCGTCATCGCGACCCTCGCTAAAGAGGAAAGCTCGTCGTCGAAAAACCGCGACAAACGTCAACAACTCACCTTTCTACGAAAGGTGGGTCGTCTGCCACCATATGCGGTGCAAATGGAACCGATAGTGCAATATTCTCAAAGAGATCCTTTGTATAATCCCTTGGCAAGCCCGAAGAACGACGATTTATATGGAGAGACTCCATCGAGCTATTATCAGACGGAACCCGAGCCGATTATCGAGATCATCATCAAAGAATCTAATGAAACTCTTCCAACTCCGGTGCCGCTACCACTTTCTTCTCAACCGCGACCTACCAAGGAACCCATCCAGGTCTTCTACGTAAAATACGAGAAGAAAAAGGGCTATGGAGATAAGACCCGCGTCATTTACGATTCACCAATCCCCGCGCTGACACCCGTGGAGGAGCACGAGGAAATTAAGCCGGACAACCCGGCACCGTATGGGGAAGAGCCAACGAATACGGTGACACCGGCACCGCCTCCGGAACCATCGACGACTTTACGCGCTATCATTCGACCCGATAGCGAAGTGTACCATTCCGGTAGTAGCGGTATCCGCGTGACTTTCGGTACCGAGCAAGTGCCACCCAACAATCACAACAAGCGTAGCGACTTGGAGACGCCTACAGGCATTATTCAACAGCACGTCGGCAAACCAACAACATCGCCAGGAGCGCCGAAAAGACAGCACGGTCCTTATCAACCCCTGCAGCCACCGCAACTCCCGCGAGTACCCGCATTTCCGCAACAGCGCATTATCAATTCATTCCCGCCGCAACCGCAAGCAACGACGTTCTTGCAACAACAGCTACAGCAGCAACCACTGTTGCATCAAACGTTTCCACCTCAGCAATCCTTGAGAAACCCACCGCCGCCACCGCCACCACCATCGAGACCACTGCAACGTCATCCCATAACTATTCAGGGTCTCCCGGAAGTACAACAACGCGCGACGTTCAACAATTTTGGTCCGCCACCGCATCACGTCAACATCAATCATCCGCAGCAACCGGGATTCCCACCTGCGCTGTCGGTATCGCATCAAAGCGTTCAAATACAGAATCAACCATTGTCGTTGCCACAAAATAATTTCGCGGAACCGCCCCAGCAACCATTACCGGTCAGATCTGGTGGCTTTAATCCGGAGCAACAACCGTTATCCAGACAGAATGGTTTCAACGTGGAGCTTTCACCGCAATCTCTTCCTCCATTTAAACAACAGGAGTTGGAGAAACAACGTTACCATGAGCAACGACGACAGCAAGAGCTATTGAAGCAACGGGAACATCAACGACAGCATGAGCAGCGACATCAAGAACACCAGCGATTTTTGGAGCAGCAGAGACAGGTCGAGCAACAAAGATTGTTGGAGCAGCAGAGACAACAGGAACATCAGAGGCAGCAAGAGCATCAGAGACTTCAAGAACAACAACGATTGCAGGAACAGCAACGCTTGCAAGAACAACATCGGCTGCAGGAGCAACAACAATTGCAAGAATTGCAGCGCTTGCAGGAGCAACGCAGGCGGAAGCAGGAGCAGGAGCTCAAGTTCCTTCAGGAACAACAACGATATCGTACACAGCTTAAGTATAATCAGGTGCAGCTTCAGCAGCCACAATTGCAGCCGCAATTACAGCCACAATTGCAGCCACAATTACAGTCACAATTACAGCCACAATTATCATCTCAACGACCAGGAGGTGAAATCTTCAAGGCCGTGCCTAAGCTAGAACAGCATTACGCGATCCAAGAAAATCCTCATCATCCTGGTCCGTTCCCACCAAATCCCACGATAGTCCAACCAACGACGTTTCCCGAACTTTCCCAAAACCAGTTCGTATCACCGCAATCGTTCAATGCCCTTCGTGATTCTCAGCAATTGTCTGGGAGTTTAACAAATCATTTTATCTCCGGTGACGGTCTGCAGCAACAGTTAAATACGCAACAATTAAACCAGCACTTAAACGCGAAGCAGTCTCATCAAAGTAGTCAGCAAAGCTTCTTCTCGCATACGCTTCCGACATCGCAACAACGGCCTCAAACGACCGCAACGACCACTTTCACTCAGCAACAATCGATATGGGGCCGGCCATTGTCCCAGAATAATCCTTTGCAGAAGATCTACGCGACACCGGTTAGTCCCTCCGAAGAGTTCAACTCACCGCCGACCGCTAAAACGTTCTTACCGACAACTACATTCTCGCCGAATAAAGTGGCCAGGATCAAGGAGAACATTGCGAATCTACCGGACGAGGTGCCAGATGACATCAGGGAGCAGCTGCTGAGCTCCGGTATTTTAGGCAACGCCGATATCCAGATCCTCGACTATGACAAGATCGGCGATATTCCGATCGAGAAACTGCCGCCGGAAGCTCTGGCGAATTTTTACGGCGCCGGAGGCGGTGCGGCGATTGCCGCCGGTAGCGAGCCCGTGCCGACGATCGTCAAAGGGCCGTTGAAGACAACGCAGAAGAAGGTGACGAGCTTGACTACCGCCGTCGCTACCACCGCTGCCAATCGCCGTAGTAACTTGACCAAGTTCGAGCAAGCCACCTTGCGGCCCGGTGGCGTGGAGATGAAAGTAGTACGCTTCGATCCGAATACGGAGCAAGGCCGGGCCGTGGCAGAGCAGCATATACGTGACGATGCGACCCGGCTGGAGCCGGTGACCGTGGGAACGCGCGGGGATGCCTCACAGTACAATCGTTATCTGCCACTTAAAGTGAGCGGCGCGTCCTTCCCGATA